GCAGCGCGTGTCGCAGAAGTTGAAGCAATCGGTTCCCGACGCGGATATTATCATATTGAAGGACACAGTGATGGGCGCCCTCCGGATGATTAGCGACAAGAACAGCAATTCCAGTGATAACGGAGTCGACAAAAACGGCGTTTCATTCAATCACATGACAAACGAACAGTTGTCTCAACTAATAGTCCCGGAGTCGACATCGCTATCGATGACAGAACTGCGGAACGAGAGGTCCACTAAATTGGACTCAATGTCTGTGACGGATGCCATCGAACTCATGATCGGCGAAGAGTCGCGAAATTTCGCCGAAATTAGGAAACAAATCAAAACCATCGAGACGTTGATTCATAGGATAACTCACGCCTTCAAAAACAACGGCCGACTCTTTTACGTCGGCAGCGGAACCAGCGGTCGGTTGGGAATACTAGACGCCAGCGAATGCCCGCCCACTTTCTCCAGCCCCTCCTATTTGGTTCAGGGTATGTCATTCATTTTGCGCCACTCATTAAATTCCGATATTATAATGATCTGCATATGAATGGTAGGAATCATCGCCGGCGGTAACAAAGCCATCCATTCAGCCATCGAAGGCGCCGAAGACTCCATTATTGACGGCATTAACGCCATTGAAGACAAGGATATCACCGAAAACGATGTCGTGATCGGTTAGTCCTGTGTTTGTAATTAAATAAATTTAAAAAATAAACTAATTCTTGGATTATCTGCGCAAAGGTATCGCCGCCTGTGGGCGCACACCCTATGTGTGGGGCGCGCTCTACGCGGCCCAGAATCGGAAAGCCTATACCTGTCTGTTATGCTTCAACCCGAACATCAAACCTCGCATTAAACTCGACTTACAGCTAACGGTGACCACTGGGCCCGAGGTGTTGACGGGTAGTACGAGACTGAAGGCCGGAACGGCCACCAAATGCATACTCAATATGTTGACCACACTATCGATGGTTCAGTTCGGAAAGTGTTTCGAGAATCTAATGATAGATCTCAGGCCCGCCAACCAAAAGCTCCGGGACCGGGCCGTTAGGATTGTGCTGCTCCTGTTAGGCCACGACAAACAGGTGCCCGAAGTGACGGTCAAACAGAGTTTAGAGAAATTTAATTATGACATCAAAAAGACTGTCATCGACTTAAGGAAAACCCTGTCCCCTAAAGCCTAATATGCACTATACTTATGACATTTAATTTGTAAACAAAATATGTTAAAATTAATTTATAACTAATTTATATGAAATCATGTTATATGGGTGCGGAGAGCATCTCAATGTTTGTTATGAATTAAACTTTTTATTTATAAATTAGTCTTAAAATCAATTCAATAAAATTGCCTAAAATTTGATTAAAAATTATCTCCAATTATTAATGTGTTGACTACTTATTGATAGTTAATAGTTAATTAACACAACTTCTATAAAAAATTTTGTAGAAAATAGACTTTAATTTAAATAAAAATATTATTTTATAACACATCTCATTGGGCACATGTTATAAAGTCAACAAATATAACATAAATTAAATTCCAAACTATAATTAATATAAATCATAAGAAATGTGGATTGAGTTTATGGTGTTAATTGGCAGGAATTCAAATGAGCAAAATAATTGGTAAACACTAAACAACATTATGTATACATCAATATAATCAACATAAAAATAATAATTTCACATACAGAGTATCTGTGTATACTTTTATACTTTTTTCTGCCGACTCGTGAGTATAGACTGAATGGCAACGAGAATTAGTATATCATATCAATAATAACCACAAGTTTCGCAAAACAAACACAACTATTGCTTAAAGTTATTGATAGGGTAGTGCTCTTTGTACAAATCCAAGTGCTTCCGCAACTCCTCCACCTGTTCCGTCAAGTTGTCGGGCATCTCGTGGTACACATCGGTAAACATGTCCATCCAATTGGGTTTCAGTTGCTTCTCGGCGTTAGTGAAGGCCGACATCACCTGTCGTTTCGCCTCCTCTTTCCAC